GCCCCGGGGCCGGCTGGCCGGGTTTATGGCTTGGTCCAGTCGTCCCAAGCAGAGCCCGGTGATGGACTCGAGTCACGCTCCCTCTCCTAAAACTTTTATGTGTGTTCCTGCACCAACTACACAAATCACTGACCTTGTCACCATATTTTTGGTGGCCAGAACTTTACCATCACCCTCCCCCCCCACACACACAGATAATACCTTTGGCGTTTTGGATTTGTTTTTATTCTTTTGGGGAAGATTGTTAGAAACATACGTAGTCATGACTTACTGTTAAAGTTTTTGGCGTTGATTTTTAACAAGTAGGTGACAATCTAGTTACTTGTGATTATTTTTTTCCTTAAGGTAATCTTAATTTTTATTTTTCTTGCAGAAAAAAAGACCAAATGGCGAAGCAACCTTCCGATGTAAGTTCTGAATGTGAAAGAGAAGGTGGACAATTGGAGCCCGCTGCCCGGCCTCCTCAACTCAGGCCTGGGGCCCCTGCCTCTGTGCAGATAGAGCCGCAAGGTAACCTTGAAGGCGAAGGGGACCGCTGCCCCCACGGCAGCCCTCAGGGCCCGCTGGCCCCGACGGCCAGCCCTGGGCCTTTTGCTACCAGATCCCCACTCTTCATCTTTGTGAGAAGATGCTCCCTGCTGTCACGGTCCTCCAGTGGGTATTTCTCTTTTGACACAGACAGGAGCCCTGCACCCATGAGTTGTGACAAATCAACACAAACGCCGAGTCCTCCGTGCCAGGCCTTGAACCACTATCTCAGTGCGATGGGTAAGCCTCTCCGGGAAGGGGCCTGCACCGTGCTGGCTTGGTGATGTGCCCAAAGGCTGCACGTAGCTTCCGCAGCCACTTTTAGAATCCTGTCACTGAGTAATTCTATATTTTGGTGGGAATGCAGGATGTGTTCAATAAAACATCAAACCAACATTTCAAAAACATATATCACCACGTTTTGTGCCAGCGATAAGTTTTGAGGTCCAAGCATCAGCTTTATTAGGCAGCAAAGCTGGAGTCTTGCTGCCTTGTTAAGTGTGTGACATGGCTTGTTCTCACCGCTAGGTTTACATATTAATGATATTCCACTTGGAAGGGACTTGGTTGATTACAGCAGGGAGCTTAACATAACTGGAAGTGTGAAGGAAGAGATGAGACAAGTAACTCAAGTCCAAAAGTGACTTAAAAAAATGAACTTGTTCACATAGGCAGTGCCAACATAGTGGCACAAGCGTGGTTTTTTTTCTAAACTCATTCTTCATTGGGCTTATTTTGTTTGCTTAGAGAACTTGGACACTGTCCTGATGAGCCTAGGCTATGGATCTTTCTTACAGGGATTAAGGGCAGTTTTAGGGTCTGAACACCTGGCAGTACTGTTAGTGAAGGAGCTGACTGGGGGAAGGGGGATTAGGGTAAATGGAGAGCATCTGCCCCTTCCAAATTGGGGCTGCCCCCAGCTGCAGCTTGTGGGGTGTGGTTGCCGAGTGGTGGGTTTCCTTGTATTGCAAGATAACAAGGGAGATTTTGATGCCAAATGTCCTGATGTTCAAATACTGGCAACTAATTTAGAACATTGAAAACAAGTGTATGAGCCAAACAAAAATATCTGCAGACTTGATTAGACCCTCAATCCCCTGGCATGTGACTTTTAAGTATGGACAGTGAGGGGGTGAGCATGTGGGTTCATGCCGCGTTTCTACCTCATAGGAAAGGCCTGTGTCCCCATCAAAGTCCAGCAGGTTCTCGTTTACCACCACCCTGGATTAGCCCTTTCTGCGTTAACCGGCAAGATAGCATTACTGATTAAAAAATCCAGTATTGATTCCAGTAAAATGTAGATGACACGTAGTCACCATAGGAGACACTTAACTGCTGGAACACAGTGACAAATCTTGCATTTGTAAATTCTGTAGAGGTCTGTCTCCATTACTTTCAATAAGGTGACAGCTGCAGGTCTGTCCCCATGTCACAGAGAAAGAACCTCAGAAAGTCAGTTACTTGTTTGAGGTTGGGAGCGCCTGGGACATGGCAGGCTGGAGTGATAGAAACTCCAGCAGCTGTGTGGCTCCATGTATCCTAAATGGTGAGAGACACAGTCGGCTCTCCGTATCACAGATTTCAAACCAAGAAGTCAACTAACTGCAGAACGAAAATATTCAGGGGGCAGGGGAAGGAATCCCAGAAAGTTAAAAAGCGGAGCTCAAATTTGCCAAGCACTGGGCTGAATCCACGTGCATGAAGTGATGTGTGGCACGTCCCGCCATCACCTGTGCAGGCACAGGTGACGTGCCATCTTCTCTGTGACTGTGCACTTAGGGAAAGGAGCTGCGAATTTTATCAATGCTGTTACTGTAGTTGCCACTGTTGCTCCATCTCCTGCAAATGTTTTTCTGCTCCTGAACATGATGCCGAGTGAACCCACAGTCTTCCTGCCCATTGAGTAACAGGGCTCATGGTGTGTGTGTGTTTAGAAATCCGAGTGTATGAGGAGCCTTGGGAAGCATCAGGGTTTTTCAGTGCAGACCACAACCTAGTCTCTGCAGGTGGTGGTTTAATGCACTGAAATAGTCCCTTCCCTGTGATCAAGTTCAGTGGGTGAGCAAGTGTGTTTTTAAAGTAAGGGCAGGTGACACACTCTGTAGCCAACTAATTATAAGGTGTAGGACACTGTTACTTGAGATGACAGGTGTAGAGCTTTAACGATCACATCTAAATGATTAAGCAAAGTTATGGTTATGTCTGTGAAGCTTAGTAATGGGGCCTGAGGTGTGATTTTATGGCATCAACTACATTTCAGTAGGTGAGTGTGATCACCGAGCGCAGAGGATTAAGTGACGAGTTGTAAGCAGTGTGTCTGAAGTTAATGTACCCAGGTAAGTTTCAGAATTAGGTCTTGGGATATTGCTTGGGGTGAGGCTGAGCTGGGGTGGGGACAGCAGGGACCCTAGCGGGTGGAAAGGCTCCTCAGATGTGAGTGGGGTAGAAAGGGAACGTTTGTCTGTTCATGAAGCTCTTCCTGGCTGTTGGGCAGCTAGTTCAGGGCCTGAAATGTGCTGACTCGGTGGATTCAGCCCCTTCCCCTTTTGTCCGTGTTTGGTGTTTCTTACTCAGCCTTTAAGGTTGTCAATGGAGCTTTCGATAGCTTGTTGCAGAATGCATTTTCACAGAAGTCTTTGTGGTCTCTGAGGTGAGGCAGGGGTGGAGGCTGGGAAGGGGTTCCACCTCAGCCAGGGCGCCTTCATCCAGCCGGTTTCTGCTCAGAGACTGGGATAGAGAACAGTGCGGCAGGTGTCATCCTACACTCTGCCCCACTGAGAGAGCACCTTCTGTGTGGAATGGTCTCCTGGCAGCTTGGTGTCCGCACCTGGAATGTTTCGTTTTTGCTCTACAGCCCTGGTTTTTCAACATGGTGCATTCGAAGAGTGTTACATTTGTCGGTGAGAGGTGACTGCCTTTTCACTTCAAGATTAGTCCCCTGGTGCCCCGGGGGGACGGAGTGGGCAGATGGCGCCTAGGGAAGACCTAATGGTTTCCGTCAGAACCACTGGCACTGTTGGCTGGCTGAGTGCTGGTCCAGGTAAGTACGCTTAGGCCGGATGTGTTTTTAACCCGAACTGTACGAAATGCTGTGGAGTCACACTTGAAGGTGCAGCCAGTGCCATGGCAGGGGAGTGTGAGAAATTCAGTCATTATTAACCCCACGTGTCATTTTGGTAAGTGACTTGGACTTTGTGCTTGTCCGTGCCACGTCAGGTTCCCAGGTGGGAGCTAGTTGTAGGCTTTGTGTCCCTCACCATCTTGGGTACGTACCCCTCGGAGCCAGTCCTTCAGGCTCTGAGCTCTCTGTGGGGATGCATGATGGCCTGTGAATCCCAGTGAGAGGGCTCGATGAAGAGGAGATGCCGGAGACTCTTGGTCATTCAAGCTTTGCCCATTAGCCCTTCCAGAGCTGCCATAAACATCTGGTAGCAAGAGAAAGACCGCTCCACTCCCCAGTAGTTCGTTTGGATCTAGCCATAAGGTGCGTTTCACGGGGTGACAGGTGAGGTCTAGCTCAGCACAGGCTTCTTAGGGAAGCCACAGTGGCATTGGGACTTCAGGTGGGGCTCCTGCAGCTTAGACGAGCCATCACTATCGGGCCGCATGGGTGGGGGATTGGGGGAGTTTAAGGCTTAGGATGTAGACAAGGGGGTAGAGTATCCCAGTTGCTTCAAATGAGTTATGTGCTCTGGGGTATTTTGAATATATTGAGTGAAATTAAAAATACATTTTTTATTATGGTAAAAAACTCATAACGTTAAATCGACCATCTTAACCGTTTATAACCATTTTACAGTTGAGTTGTGTTAAGTACAGTTAAATGCTGTGCGGCCAGTTCCTCGAACTTTTCCATCTTGTAAAACTGAAACTGCACCCATCGAACAGCAGCCCCCCAGCTCCCAGCACCCTGCATGTTTTGTCTGCGTCTCTGATCTGGAATATTTGGGGACCACATGTAAACGGAATCACACAGTGTTTGTCCTGTGAGTGACTTATTTCACTCAGCATAGTGTCTTAAAGGTTCATCCATGTTGCAATAAGTGTCAGAACATTTTTCTTTTTTAAGACAACGTTCCATAGTGTGTGTATACACACATCTTCACCCATTCACTTCACACAGACACTTAGGCCATATCCATGTCTCGACTGTTGTAAATAATGCTACAGTGAGCACAGGAGTGCAGATGCCTCTCCAAGATGGGGGTTTCATTCTTTTCAGAGAAATACCGAGAAGTGGGGCTTCTGGGCCATGTGGTAGCTCTCGTCTTAACTTTCTGAGCACCCTCCACACCGTTGTCCACAGCGGCCGCACCAGTTTGCAGTCCCACCAGCAGGCATGAGGCTCCCTTTCCCCCACGTCCTCACCAGCACTACTGTGTTCTGTTTTCTTTCTCTTTTTCCTGAAGGTGGCCATCCTGGTGGGCGCGAGCTGGTGGTTTCGATTTGTGTTTCCCTCACAGTCAGTATGTTGAGTATCTTTTCTTGTGTTTGTTCACCGTTAAATATATTTTTGATCTTAATTTTACCTGTTTCTTTTTACTTAAAATTATAAGTGTGGCTACTAGAAAAATGTCAGAAGAGGCCCATGACCGGCACCTGTGCGGTGGCACCAGACACTGTTCTTCCCACTGGGGACACATCGTTCCGTAGCACTTAATCCTTGGGTTGCTGTGGACTTGGGGTTAGGAAGGCAATTCACCCCGTCTTGTAAGCCTCTTAAATATCCGTGAGCTGTGTAGCTGGCTGCCCTCGGGTGTCAGTTCTGTGTCACCTTTTCAGGCTTGCAGTACGCGCGGGTTTGAAAATGGAAAGCCAGTGGTTGGCCACCTCGAGGCCGCCTGGGCTGGGCAACAGTGATGGTCTTACTTGTGACAACCTGGTCCTAGCCTTCAGCAGTTGGGACACCAAGGCAGACAAGTGTAGTTCGTAGGTCCTGAATGGGGTTAGAGAGTGACGAAAGAAAAAAATTTTCTTTCCTGGTTCCAAACAAAATTTACTGATTGATAGCTGTCTAGACTTTTAATTTTATATCTTTTTAAGAAACACTGTTGAGATGATTATATATATGATTTATATGCAGTTGTAAGAGGTCATGCAGAGAGATCCTGTGTAGCTGTCACTTGGCTCCCCCAGTGGCAACACTTTGTGTGATAGGGCAGGGTCGCAATCAGCAAATGATGTTGATGGTGTCCAGCCACCTTGCTCAGGTTTCAGAGGTTCCATGTGCACTCCATGTG